TTGGAGAGTAAGCTTTCGTGTTGATGCTTCCACCTGGTTTTAGTACATATTCAGCATTTGAATCAGGAATGTTGGGACACAAGCATTATTTCTGTTCTTATTTTCTGACATTTATCCCACTTGGATGACACACAGGGACATAAACACAAAATGAATTTGTATTTTCAAGCTACAAGAAATATTGTCAATGTTTTGGGGTTTTTTTTTTTAACAGGAAGTGGAAGCACTGTAGAGTACACCTCGGCTTAATTTCTGTGACAGTCTGTCCTCATTACAGCGACCACTGCCCCAAAATGATCAACTAAATCACGTTAGCATTTCTAATTTAGTTGCATCAGTACTGAGGAATCTTTATTAAATAGAATTATTGTTAACTGTGCGATTGAATCTACGAGAACACACAAGGCGGCCCCTGAGAGGTTACCTGTACCATCGCTCTACATCTGAGCCAATCAGCACAGCGTGAAGAGACCCCGGTGCATGGCTACCTGCAGCCAGCTGTCAGGAGGGAAACCACCAGTCCTCAGCACTTCCTCAAGTCTTGCTTAATGGTGAGTGACGATGACGTTTTGCTGCCAGCAACCTAAATGTACAAATGGTTCCTAATGACCCAAATGCTCACTGCTCAGAGACTAGTGCTAAAGAGGTACCTCATAGAGTCTCATCAATTGGCCAATTATCATTTCATTAGGAGACAAATGAAAAGAAACTGAGGAGAAACTTGTCAGTCATGAACTAACAATGACTGCTTGCTAAAGAGATGATTAAACAATGAAGAAAATGATTTATTTATCAGGGAGTTAGTAAATCTGATAATAGTCTTCATGGAACCTGGTTAATTGAACCTGTTGATGGACAGCACACAACTTAAGATGAATTCAGTTCAAATTGGTTAAATAAATAACCAACACTGAGTCGGTTAAAGGGTATAAGCAATTTCTCAGAGTATTACTTATTACCGTACTTGTTTTATTCCTGTCTTTTTTATACTGTCTTCTTTCTTGCCATAGAGGTGGTATGATGTGCGAAACGGTGTTTGCAGAGTTATTTTCATTGCATGACATTCTCATCAGTGACACCTTTAATGATAGACCCAAAAACAAGCAAATATAATCAAATATGAGTTTATTTTTTTATAAATCATTCTTACAAAATTGGCATTTATCTATTTCATTTGTGGCCTCTATAAAAGTCTTTTCTTAATTACAAGGTAGGAGAGGAGCAGGAGAAGGCATCAGGACAGCTGGGCCAGACCGAGTCCTCCCGACCGGCCGCGCCGCGCAGCCAATCACCGATAAGCCACCAGAAACAGGAAGTGGTCATGCATTGTCGCCGTAGCAACAGTCCAAACACAACATGAAAAGTGGGGCATCGTGGGGAGAGAATGGAAGCGGTGACTCATCCAGTGTATGAAGTTGGGCTGCCTCCCGTCTACTGGAAATTTAGGACCGACAGCGCTCAGCAACAAGGACTCATTTGTTGATAAAAAACAAAAAAAGGCACAAATCAAGAACAGAAGCAATTCCAGCACACACAAACACTTAACTGCCTGGCACATTTTGGGGGAAACGTCCCTCCGTCTGTGTTTGAGATCAAGATTAGGACTTGCATAATTCCCCTCTAAAACACACGCGTCACACAGGGCTGGGATCTGGATCTGGAACAGGGATCTGGATCTGGAACAGGGATCTGGATCTGGATCTGGAACAGGGATCTGGATCTGGGATCTGGGATCTGAGAGACGGGACGCGTTCTGCTGCTAAGCTGTGAAAGAGGCAATTTCAGCCCAGCTGTGTGACAGCCTCAGAGCCATTAGTGAAATGCACCGGGGGAAGATGTTGCAGAGGAATCTGAAGCGGTTTCCATCTGGTACCGGGGACCCAGCTGCTTATTATTTCCCACGTGTCAGTTAGTGCAGTCTTTATTAGGACTTTATAATTTCGCTCCCGTGGAGAGCCAAGATGGCGCGGCCCCCCAATCCAATTCTAGATCACTGGCCTATGCAATCTTTTCAGGAGTTAAAACTACTGTGACGACTCTGAAAATGTTATCTCCCTCTTGGGGAGCGCGATATTAGAAAAACACCAGAGTGTGATGGATGTTTCCCCGGGACAAAGCGATGCAGAGGGAGGCGTAATAGGAGCTGTATATTGGCATCTGCGTAGACTGATGTGCACAGCACGTGGAAAATAAACTGAATAAATAACACAAGCTCCCCTCAGCAATGCAGGATCCGTCTTAATGTTCTCCTCACGTCATCCCAGACTGCGCAGCCCCTCTCCTTTTTGTTTTCCAAGAAAATAAATACCTATGTACAGCGCTGATTGCACGGATTTGAAGTTTGTTGGCGTTTAGTTTTTTTGCATCAATTAGCTGCAAAGCTGGGGGCAGGTTTCTCTTGAGATGATCAACAACACTTCAAACAATCGCACGTTAAAGGCTGGATATGAAATCAGAGAACATGGTTGTCAGAAGATGAAAGTGTGACCAGGCGCAGACTAAGAGAGGTGTGCGTCCTCCCCCAGAAAAACACATTCTTATGATGGCGGAACGCTTTTTTTCCTCCTTTTTCTCCAAACTGAGACACGGTGTGAAAACAAACATGATATTCCACAATGAAATGGCGGGACGAAACACAGCAGCCGTGCTGGCGTTGATATGCTGAGGCAGACAAAGAGAAGGCCGCTACAAAACCTTTGACCTGGACTCAAAGTGGAAACAAAGAGCAGAAGAAGAAAGCTGGAGGTTAAATGTGCGACATCACAACTGACTACAGCTGATTACAGCTGGCTGATGAACACTTTTCGGCTGAGACGCGGAAAATAAAAAGGCCACGAAAAAGCAAAATGCTTTCATTCAAGCTTCTTCAGACTAAATATGTGTGTGTGCAAACCTTGTTGAGGCCGCTGGCCACTGAGCCACAAGCCGGCCGTCTCCCCACACACTGAAGATCCGCTGAAGATATTCAGCTTTTGTGTTCCACTCTGGATAAAAGCTCGTTTGAGTACAGGCCGTCTGGTGTAAATGGAGCGGATGTCGTCACTGAGGAAGAGGACGGGCCACTGCGACATTCCTGTGGAGCTGTGCTCACAGCTCGATATGCCTTTGAAATGGAGGAGTTTACTCTGTATACAAGCAGAGAGTTAGCGGCTAACGTTTAGCTTCCTCTGTGTGACATCACTGGGCAGATGTGTTGAAACTACTTGAAATGGTGACTTTTGCCAGATGAGGTAAAATAAAAAAATCTGGATTTTATTAGAGCAGAGCGACAGTCTAGATACTCCTTGACTGAGCGCCAGTTGATATGCGTCTTGATTTTCAGTCATATTTGTGGTAGGTTTAGCCGTCGGAAAACAGAATAAATATTTAAATGAATTGGCCATTTGGCTGTTTTGATCCACACCGTCACCGGGCTGGCCGTCTGGCTCTGATGGAGCCTCTAACTGGAGCCACATTATCTGGACGCGTTAACCAGAAGCTCGTTGGAGTCTGACTTTTGCTGGACGCGCACATTCGCATGTCAGTCAGCTTTAGGGGGGGGGCGTGCTTCCTGGGGGGCGTCTGGCTGCCGTGTTAACGCGGGGAGTGAAGCGGGCTGTCGCCCCCCCCCCGGGGCCAGCATTAGCCAGCGGGTCATGTTTGTGGCTGTCCATAATGTGCAGCGTCTCCTAAACAGCCGTCCGGGGGGAATAAAAACAGCTCCCCCAGCAAGTGAAAGAGCTTCACTTAATTGAAGCCTAAATGTACCTCTGCCTGACAAATGGTGGGAGAAAACCTTTTGTCAATTTCATGGCTCTGGGGTGCTCTGATATATGGAAGGGGAGAGGAGAGACAGGAGGACAGGAGCTGCAGCGGACTAATGAGAAGGTCTCAGCGCGGGAGCTTCTCGCCATCTCGACCTGATGGAGGCAACTCCATGTGCAATAAACTATGTAAAGGCTGACCCTGACGGCAGAATGGCACCGAGGCGCTGGCTGTTCACACGCTCACTAAAAGCTCCCCTTTACAGAACCACACTGGTCACTAAAGGCCCGCTATGCTCTGAAATCGCATTCCTTAGACGGATGGAGCTCAGAGACTGTGCAGAAGGAGAAAAAGGTTGAAAGGTGTTCGGGGTAGAATGCAGCGTTCTGCTCCATTTCATCCAGAAATGTTCATTTCACTCGTTCCAATGGAGGGAAAATCTAGTCCGCTTAAGCTTATGGTTGGATGAGCCAACTTTACAAGGCTCTGTTCACTCAACGCACACACACACACGCACACACACAGACACACGCACACAGACACACACGCAATAGTGAAAGCACAGCCAGCTCCGAGGGGGAAATAAAGATGAAGAAAGTAGAACTGCTGTGATGAGTGTGAGGGGAAAATGGGATATTAAATTAAATGTTTTCCCAACTTATCTGTGCGATAAGAAGAGAGCAGATAGATTGTGAGAAAAATCCATCCGAACACAGAAGAATGCGCTAAGGAGGGGACAAAGCGGGTGTTGTTAGATTAACGACTGAAGGATGTGCGTGAATAGCTGAACATATCGGGAAATGACTGCTTTGCTCTTTAAAAAAAAACAACTTCTTGGACGCTGCTGCCTGCCTGCCTTCTTTTTTTTTGTATGCTGAGAGAAATAATAATCCCAGACTATAAAGCAGGCATTTCATAGTGAGTCCAATATTATGTCCTGATGCAGACGAGGGAGGGTTGCCGGGGACGACCGGTGGGATTTGTGGTGGTATGGGTTGCCAGGTTGGCGAATACACCTTCCCTTTCTAGCATCCTGCACGTGTGCAGAGGGCAGGAGGGTCGGTGTTGTCCTTGTTGGCGTCGTACAAAAAAATACTCTATCCAGCAGTTCTTGTTGTCAGTAGTGTGTGCTGCGTGTTTGCACATTTGGGAAACATACAGTACTGTTTGGCGTGTCTGTTTGCGTTCTGGTCTTTGTCTGCTGTTTTTAGTGTTTGTGGTTTCCTCTTCCAAATGCCGCTTGCTGATTGTTCTCTTCAGCCGCTCTCCCGTGGCGTCCAGGCGGCGGCGCTGCTGTGCTGAATGGAGGACAGAGCCGTGTCTCTGCCCGCCCGCCCTGCCGCCGTCCCACTGACCCTCCCGGTCTCCGCCGAGTCCCGGGCCTCCCCCGGAGTGGGCTCTCCCCCGAGGGGGCGGCGGTCCTGTCAGAGCCTCTCGATGTCCCTGTATTTCTTGCGGAGGATGGAGACCTGGTCCTTAAAGAGGACCGGGTCCAGTCTCATCTGGGAATGGACGAGCGGCATGGCGCCAAACCAGCTGGCGAACTTGTTCATGCAGGTCTGCCGCTGGGCGAAGTGGTCCGGATCAGCCCAGCGAGACGCCCTCGAAGACTGGAGGGAGGGAAAAAGATGGAGAGGAAAAGGAGAAGTAGTTAAGGCCCAATCCCAAATCGTCCCCTTTTCTTTAAGGGATCAAGTAAAAACAGCAATAGGTAAATTGAAGGTGTTTTTTAAAACAATCAGAATCACTAAAACTAAGCGGCTGATATAATAATTTTCAAGAAACAGTTTAAACTGAATTAAATCTAACGGTTAAACCTCAAAATGATTGGGAATGATCATATTTGGAGTGTAACTGTAATCTCCAAAGATCACAGAGAACAAAAACAAAGTTGGTTATGGCTGTTTCCATTTGAACTGTAAAGAGAGGCTCCTAAATGTTCTCATCTCCCTGAAAGTCATCAGCTGGATAACGCATGCGGGAGCTTCGAGGACTGAACTGAGGAAGCACCATGGCCTCTGTGTGCTCCAGTCTGTTTGTGACTTTCCCGTTTGTCCGTTAATGCTACCGAAGAATTTCAACTGTGGAAGCAGAGAGAGTTTGCTCCGGCGGAGAGGCGGTGGCCCAGGCGTGGTGGAAAAACACCATTCAGTGAGGACGCGTTACATAACGCCGTCCTCGTTTGATCCTGTGAAATTGGTACTAGCTCAACTGTCCCATGACAAACATTAGAGCCCTCAGAAACAACAGGCAGGCCTAATGACACTAGAGTGGCCTACTCCCATTTGAATGTGGCGACCCCACCCCTTACCTGTCCCATCATGGTCTCTTTGTACTGTTTCTTCTGTGTGACCTTAATGGGGGGCAGCTTGGTGACAGCGGAGACCAGGAAGTTCATCAGGATGTCCTCACAGTTGGCCAGCTGGTCCACCATGTTCTTTAGGCTTGTGGGTAAGTAGTTGGTGTACAGGTAGTGGTAGTACCTGGAAGTGGTGACAGAGAAACACACCCTGAGTGAACGGCTCACTTCTGAAGCACCGCATATTTCTGTAAGCGTCTTAAGCTGCGTGGCTTCGGCTTGCTGAATGGATTGAATGAGGGGCTGGCTGGCGGTGATTAAGTGTTGGGCTGTGATGATGGTCTGGCTTCAGCTTAATGGCGCGGCCTCATCACAGCAGCACGCAGTCGTATCAAAGCTGACAGGGCTTTGGTTCAAACTAATGTCGGAGCTATGGAGGGCTGTGAGGCAGACAAACTGACAGGTTTTTTGGGGGGGGAAGGGAAGCGATCCCTGTGTCAAAAATACTGGTTTCCAGAGGCTGCGCCTCACTGAACATCACATCTACTTTATGATCTCCAGATCAGCGCATCAAAGGGCTCTACAAAAGCAGAGAGGAGCCCAGCTGAGTTCCCCAACTACAGAGCAGGCGGAAAGAGAAAGGGGAGGGGAGGGAGGGGGCTCAGCAGGACGGGGAGGGTGGGCTTCACCTGTGGAAGATGGCGGCGCCGGTCAGGACCATGGAGTAGTCGTTGGTCCATTTGGAGGTGTAGCCCCAGCGCTCCTTGTTGCTGTCCCAGAAGTGGCTGCGGGCCGGGTAACCCACAATCCGCTCAGGAAAACTCTGCCACACGGTGAAGGCAAAGTCCACCTGGACAGACAGAAGCAAGGGCCAGAAGAATGTAGATGGGGATTAAAAAGATCACAAAAAGACAAACAGTTTAGTCACGGTGGTGTGCTGAAGACTTTGCAGCTTACTGCTTTGCAAATACCAAACAGAAAGGCAAAACCAGAGCCAGATGATTAGTTTTTCCACGGCTACACAATGTTGTTGCTATTCACGTCCCACAACGGGGGAACAAATGAGCACAATGTGTGCCTTTCTTTAGATTGTTACTAACAAATAACAAACCCATGAAAAGTGATGCTGGGCTACATTTTCTGTAGAGAAATTCCACCGTTGTCCTCTTTTCCTTTTGTTTGGTGGGAGCTTTCTAAGCTGTATCTATTTACACTTTATTGTCTCTGAAAAACAGAAAGGTGGAATGAAAGCGACTACAGGGAGTTCTGACGAGAGAAGTGCACGCTCAAAATGAAAACAGCAAAAGAGTCAGAAGCTCGTCAAGCAACTTCTGAGGTGACGATCAAAGCGCTCAATCAAATAATTAGACCAAAACATCAAAAAAGGCCTCTGCGGCTCCTCAAACGGCTCCTTTTGCTTTAGAACACATTACTGCGCTGTGCTCCACGGAGAGGATGCTCAGAAAAAGGCTGAGCTCTGAAGCCTTTATGGGTTGTTTCTGCACGGCTTTGTACACGCAGCATAAACAATATCAAAAGTAGACCAGGAAGAGCTTTGAATTCCACCTCTGCCTACTTTTTAATTGAGACAAGATGGTATGAGTCTGCAGACAGATAAAAGTATGGCAACAAATTTTAAATAGACAAAACAAAACAAAAAAAAAAAGACAGGAATTTCTTCCAAAGCCTCACTGGCAGATAATTCTTCTCCTCTCCCTCCCGTCTTTGAGCAACAGATAGCTTGAACCAACACTGATGTCTGTGCTCAGCTATTTCCCTGTGAGTGGCACCGGTGGATTCGGCTTTAGGAGCTGGATACTCCCTCTCTGCCTTGCCATTATGATCCACACACAGACTAAATCTGTGTGGTTCAAATCAGCATCTGGCTTCCTGTGGTGCGGCGCCAGAACATGCCCCAAGAAAAGAAACAAAAATTGAAAAAGATGCAGGGAAGGTCCTGGAACAGAAATGCCCCGTAACGGTGCGGCTTGGAGAAGCGCAGCGTGATTACAGGAGCCAACAACAGGAGGGAGGCTATGAAGGAGAAAAACTAAAAAAACTAAACACAGGCAGGAAGTCTGACAAGAAGAGAGAGCGAGTGTCTGTTGAGCAACAGCGCAAATGCATGAAAACTCGCAGGAGAGACAGACAAAGATAAAAAAGAAGGGAGAGAAAATGCAATGAGAGCAGCATTTGGTGCTCGGGGAGAGACTTTGCAACTATTTCTCATGTTAAGGGGGAGCAGGTGGAGCTAAAAGAGACAGGAAAAGGGATGTCGATTCTGTTTAGAGTGATTAGGTTCTGGGATACCTCTGTGGTGGACAGCACTGTGTCTTCATCCAGGCTGAGGACGGCATCGGTCACTATGGTCTCGTAGGGCAGGAATCGGCTGCTCATGACCTGCAGGGACAGACAGAATCCAGAGCTGAAGCCAGTTGGCTGGACGGACAACGGTTGCTTTCTCACAGATACTAACAAAAGAGCATTTGGGTGAACGGCCAACATTTCAGACTGGAACACCTGAAAAGCACTTGGGTGGTGAAATCTCATTGCTCCTGTAATCTGTAAACAACAACTTGCATAGATGTTGACTCAGACAGATGGCTGTTGCCAATGAGCTATCTTTACTATCATGCTTAAGTTTCCATGGAAACAATTCACGAGACTCTTAGGAGATATTGTACTTGAAGTAAAGGAAAGGTCGCATTTTAAGAAGCAAATTATTTTCCATTGACTCCAGTTGACTCAGCCGGCAAACAGCCCACTCGCTTTGAGCGGAATATTTGGGTCAAGAAGCTGTGGCAGACTAAACAAGGCAGGCAGGTATGCTTTCTGTTTCCAGGCCTTTATCAGGACTTTTCAGGGAAGGTAGATCGTGCAGTCCTGCAGCATGTTTGCCTCAGGGCCGTCTCCCAGCTGGAAAAACCTCCACAACTATGTTCAAATAAATTGCCCACATCACCAAAAATGAGAAGGTCAACTAAAGGCCTGAAAAAAAAAAAAAAGATTTCTGGCTGGTTCTGAAGGCGAATTCTAAACATTAACTGTGATATGTCACCTATTCCGTTGGGTATTGTGTTAGTTAGGAGAATGTAGGCAAAGCAGAAGACCTAACAGTTATTTCTGCTCTCTGTTTATTGCCAGTTTGTGGGAGAAATAATCCAAAAGCAACCAGTCACAAAAGGCTTTGTCTTCATGCAAAGTAAAAGGATAAAGCAGAAAACACTCATCCATGTTGTAAAAGCATTTGAATAGTGACAGTAGACATGGAAACAGGAAGTCTTGGTCCAGTTATCTCGTTGGATCTAAAGCATTAGTAGCCTCTAGAAGCTGACTTTTAAAAATTCAATTTATCCTCTAAAGGCAGATCCATAGAGATGTGTGCATCCTTCATCTGCAGCCCCGCTGTGACCTGTTGGAAGCCTGTGCAAACTGATGCCACGCCAACAGAACAAAATGTGATTTAGACTTTTGATATGCCGTGTTTACAGGCCGAGTGACTTTCCTCTGGTTTAATAATCCTCTGGAATGAAAATATAATATGTAATGGAGCTCTCCTCTGATATCCTCTATGATTTCTGTGCTGTGGGGATTTCTTTTCTCCCTTTACTCCTGGAACAAGTAACCTTTGTTACTCTGCTCTGACTTTTGGAGACGACCGCAGACACACCATTATGCAGGTATTTTAGCCAACAGCTGCTTAGGTCACTCAGTTTTTTTTTTTTTTTGCAGGGTGCACTTTGAGCTAACAAAACCCCCATTTACCAAGTTTAAGTCAGCAAAATGTCTGCTGGGTGCTCTAACCGTCCAGACAGAAACACTTTTAATGTGCTCTTTTTCTTTTAATTGGAGATGAGATGTTTCCGCACAGTCGGTATTCAAAGTTTTATTTCCCCCTCTTCGTTCAGCTGGAGTGAACCGCCTGATTATACTTAAAGATGACACCAACTCAGAAAACCTCATTAAAATTCAAGACAAGAGGACCAAATATTGAGCCGAAAGAAGCTGTAAAGCTAAAAAGTGGGCTTTGAGTAGATCTGATGATTTGTTTATCTAAAAAGATGATGATTACAGTTACAGTTGCTTTAAAGAAAGAAAAAAACTTGTAGGCTGGAAAAGAGGATGAACTGAGCGTAAAAATGTTCATATTGAACTGGCAGGTACTCCCCCCCCCCCCGTATCAGTTGTTAACGGAGCTGACAGGTGCCTCTGAACTCTGGTGAGCCCTTTTCACTTAAGTGCACGAAAGGTCACCATCTTTTTCTGGAGAGTAGATCCACTGTTGAATAGAGTTTCACCTTGACAAAATTCTGAAAAATAACTCTCCTTCTGCCTTCAATAACCCGCCGCATGCATTTTTAATGATCACTCACATATTCATGCGATTCAGTTGTGACAGCTAGCCATGAAGACAACAAAGAGCAGGGCACGGAGAAGAAGAGAAAAGCCTATATCCTACGCATTACTGCAGGGGGGCCTGTTGTTTTCAGCAGCCACTGAGAGCCGATACAAGGTTCCAATGGCGGCGGCAGGCTCGTCTTTCTCTTTTAAATCAATAACAAACACATGCACGGACTGGAGGCATTGCGTGAGTCACGCATACACATGGTCAGACACACTTTTCTCCTGTAAACGCAACACTGTATATGTACGTTTTGCGGCAGATGAAGGCTGTGTAATACATGGCTGTCCTTGACTGAGATGGTGGGGACTGGGGCCTGGTGGGTGGATGGAAAGATCAACATCTTGAGGATATCTAGATGGTAACATTTTTGTCTGTGGCCATGATGGCAGTACTTGGTTTGGAAAAAAACTTTAAAAAAAAAAGCTTCTAGTTGTCTGTGAGTGTGCATATTGTAAACTGGATGTGTGCAATCTCCCACGCAAACAGCTCCCAAAATCATGGCTTAAAAGGGTGTAGACGCACGCTCTTCCAGATAAACAGTTGATACATGTAAACACTCGAGCTAAGAGCCTGGACAGGCTGTTATCTGGTTATTCCACAGAGCTCTTAAGGTCGGCCCTCTTTAAACAAAATGCAAACACCACCTGCACTGAAAAAAAAAGCCATTACATTTACATCTAAGCAAGGCCGACGCTGACCTCCGTCCTCAAATCTTGCAATCATCCACCTGCTGTGCTTCACTTGTGGCCTCATTCTGGCCAGGTCTTAATCATGGTTACAACACAGGGCAGCAGCAAACCCACAGAAAAACAAGAACACATGGCTTTATTGGCACGCAGCGGGAGGGCTGCTCTCCACTGCAGGGCTGCAGCTGGCGATTACATTCATTAACAATGTACCAAAGAGTACAACAATTCAAAAAAAGGACCCAGCCAGGCTGATGTGTTTTACTTTTTACCTTCTTTTTTTTGTATGACAGGTAGCCTGGACCTCAAAGATTTGGGTTAGTATGATTTTAGAAAAGAGGGCTTCAAATGCCGGGAGATGTAACCACCAGTTAAATTAAGAGCATAATTCCAACAACTGGGTCACTGAGGATTCGTAGGGAAAAAAGGGGAGTTTGATCATTAAAACCACATCATAGAGCAACTCTGATGCTGGAGAGGCTTCAAAAACCAAAAATATACAACCGTCTCAAATACCTACTTTGACACATCCAGTACTTTTATTTGACAAACTGCGGACATCAAAAGCAAACATACAATTTTCCTAAACCAGATTTAAAGGGGATTGGAAGGCAGGTTTAGATTTCAGTGTCACAGCTACACAGATGCCTAAATGTTCTGACCACTGAAGTTTTAATCTGCCTTAAACTTCACTCTCAATGTGTCGCCAAGTCAAAAGGGCAATGCTTTTCAAAGGAGAAATTAAAAAAGGAACCTTGTGTCTGTAAATATAAAGTCTCTGATCTATATGATGTTGCTACAGCAACCAGTATACATTAATTAGTGTTTGTTGCAGGAGACGCATACAGCCAGAGTCATGTTGCTCAGAGCAATTTTGAGCCGTCAAAAGAATCCAAGTTGACTGTGTGTTGCTTTGGTTCCACATGCTGATGTTCTGATCCAGGTGGGTGTAAAGTCGGCCCTCCATGGTCATAAACAACTAACTAAACTCACCACCTCCATCAGCAGATGCATGAGATGACTAGTTTTCAGTTTCCATTGAAAGCTGCACATTTAAAATCGAGAAAATCAGGAGTTTAAAATGTGCTCCCACACCCCAGATTTTCTTGGTCCTACTTCCCAGTCGAGCCTGGCAGGGATTAAAGCAAACAGCCAGCCCGGTCAAAAGTCGTCCCTCTTTCATCTGTCCTAAAACACTCCAGAGGCCACGGTTTATTGGGCTGCTCATATTCTAACATGGTGGAGCTGCAGAGGTGTGCGAGTGGCAGCAGTGTTCACAGGCAAAGAGAGAAAATGAGAGTTTAGAGGGAAGATGAGAAGTGGTACCCTCCCTCACACTTCACTGTCATCATTACTGCCGCCATATCCTGCAGGCATCGAGATAAACAAAACAGTCCCATCCTTTGGCTCCGTGTTCCGCCAAAACCTGACAGGAAGAATACCAGCGAAGAAGACGACGGGAGCCAGGTGAGGGGAACGTGACGTCAGACAAACAGCCAAAAGACACAAAGTGAGAATGAGAGGCTGATGTTTCCAGCTCCCAGATGGTTTGTAAGGTTAGAAGCGAGACATATTAGCCCGGGGCTTCCTGCTGCTCTCCAGGAATGTGAGCTCTTACAGCAGGAATCCGCCTCCAGCGTTTTATGTCCTCATTCTCTGGAAAGGACAGCGGCAGAGGAGAAAACACAGAAAGGAGGCAGGAGGACCACCAGTGTGTGTAAAGCACATAAAGAGCTGCGGGGATTCTCACATGGCTAAAGTCAACAGTCATAAACCAGCTCCCAGGTCGGCGTGCCAGAGACAGACGGAGGGACAGAGTAGAAGTCATTTAACAGGAAAGAAAAGTAGAGAAGTAGAGAAAACTCTATTTCAACCATCTACAATAAACTGAAAATAAAGAAGTCACAAGGACCAGACAAAGAAAAATCGACTCATTTAGGGGAGTAAAGGTTTGAATACATACCAGTACAACTAGTCTAGAATATTGTCATCTCCCGCCTAAAAAAATGTTTATGCCCTTCTCATTTGGCCAAAATAACTGTGAGCACACAGGATTGAGTGTCCTGGGGCGTCTGGTACCAGGATGATGGTGTAGATTGTTTGGGCTTCGTGGGTTTCCCACAGGTACCATCACAACACATCTGGCCTGTTGTGGGGGAACTCAGAGGCTGGGTGGCAGCTTCACACCGTTTGGGTGCTTTTAGTCCTTCCTAAGCAGTTATTGTGGGGACCACTCTTGTTTTACCAGAACATAACCTGATTCTTACAAATATTTGTACATGCACCAGTCCAGTCAAGCTGACTACTAAAGCGCTTTACTCGAAGTGTCATTCACCATTCACACACACATTCACACACTGGTTGCACCAGTGGGTACACAAGATGCAGCCAGTAGGCAACTTGGGGTTCAGAGCCTTGCTCAAGGACTCTTCGACATGCGGGCTGGAGCAACATGGAGTAGAACCACTGACCCTCCAATCAGTGGGCAACTCCTCTTTCCTCCCGAGACACTGGCCCTCCAAACCACCAGATTCCTGGCCTTAGAGATGCATTTTGGGGCGTTTTCAGCCTTATGAGCATTGTTTTTTTTTGGCATGTAAGGCTTTAACAAGCATCTTGGTTTGAGATTAAAAACACCAAGTCATGAATTTTCTGATAGTTTGTAATCAATAAATGACTAAATACAAAATTGTTACTTAATTTTCAAATCTTAAAAGGGTTCACACATTTTGAAATCTGATAAACCTTTGCTGCTGATATATATCTGTATTCAGAGTGAGAGATGGTCCTTTCTCTGATTTGTGTAAAGCTGCCTGGAAAGCTCAGGGGACATGTGCTACTTGTGATGATGCCCGTTTGTTTTAACCTAATCACCTGGAAAAAAAAACAAGTAACTAGTGTAAAGTGAAAGTGGTTTGACACATTTATAAGGGCCACAGCCTGGATGAATAATAGGAAATGAATCCTGTCTATTTAAAAAAAAATTTTAATGAAAAAAAAGATATATTTTGTTGCTGATCTCCAAAAGATTATGAAACACAAGCCAGTCAAAGGTGTTTGAAGGGAGCGAGGGAGATGGACACATTTCGGAGAAAAAAGTAATTTAGTGTTTTTTCACCAACATACCAGCCAGAAATGTGACCTCAATATTTCTGAAGTCTTGGCTGTGCCCTTGATGACAGAAACATAAAAAAATAAAAAAAAAGAAGAGGCGAAAATGAGATTTGGAGATACGGAGAAGCAAAATGAGGATAAGAGAAATGATGAGAAGCAGAGGACCTGTGAGTGAGGGAGAGGATGAAAGCTGGGGGGGCAGAAACATGGAAATGGCAGAAAAAAGGCGAGAAGGATGAAAAAGCTTCCCTGCCTCTCCCTCTGTGGGGTGGAAGAACACAGCTTGGCTCGCCACGGTAAACACAGAAAACACCACAAGCACAACAAACCACAGGCTGCCTGGCACACACACACGCACACACACACACATTTAAACACATACAACACCAGCACACTAAGCCTGTTCTGCTGCTTTTCACAGACACACAGTTCTACTCAGAGGCCTCCTGTTGTGATTGACAGCTTGGGAGAAACCACTCAGAGCCACGGGGAGAGGAAAACCATAAACCCAGTGCAACGCCGGCTGAATGACACCAGTGTGAAAAACCACTTCCACTGATTGGCAGGTGAAGTCCTGACACGGGGAAGGCCAGAGACCGATAAGTACGAAGTCTCAGAAAACATAAATCCTCAAAAAGAAGACAGAAAGAGGAAGAAGAGGAAAAAAAGCACCGTTCAGACTGGAGCTTGTAAACAGAAATACTGCTGTGATGAGCATGGGGATGGAAATGTCATCCTGAGAGTCCACGGCTGAACTGTGACCCGCGCAACCCGAGGTCAGAGGTTAAAACAAGAGCAGCAGCACATTCAAACCCCTTCGACATACAATCTTAATAAGGCTGCAACACAGAGGCGTGGGGGGGCCGGCTGGCTTGAGTTTGACTGCAGGGTTGAATACAGAGTGCTACTTTTGTCAGCTTTAAACAACATGAGAAATCCGAAAACTTTGAAGTGTGAGATTATATTTGCTAGAATATTGAAACTCCAGTGTGTCAATTTGACAAAAAATAGTCAGGTTGATGTGGTCTATTTAGACATAGAACATTTTTTCAACATATAATCTGTCACTTTTTTTATTTATGAATAAATTATAATAACATTATTATGGCAAATTAACGTTTTTGTCTTATTCCAGACCAAGACCACTTTTTGGCGTAAAAATACGCTTTATCCAAAGACTCGACTGCTTACTTCCTTTGGTGAATTAGATATCTGATTACAATTAAAGTTAGGGCACAAAAGTAAAAGGAAAAGAATGCTCCAGCGGCAGACACTTCCCCGTTATTACCGCCCTATCTTTCCAACACACAATGTGCATTGGCCTTTCAGTCATTCTTTTTTACCAGTGTATTAAATTCTCATTACTGAGGTTTAATTAAAACCACACAAACTGTCCTTTAATGGAATCAGAGCAACACAAATCGAAACTCATTAACTCTCAGAAACTCTCTGAGAGAAGGAAAATATTTCAAGATACAGAAGCTTCACCATTTCAGGACATCGTGAGTAATGGAATAAGAGGAGATGGCGATCACGTCTTTGAGTCTGTGAGAGGTGGAGAGTGTGAGTGTGTGTTCAGGCTCACCTTATTCTCTCCCTCTATGACGATGATGGGCACTGAGGTGGCGGGCCAGCGGTGCTTTGCAGGCAGCGGTTTGTCCGAGTTCCACAGGACGATGATCTGAAGACCACACAAACATGTTGTTCACCTCATTAAAATCAAAGTCCAAACAGTTTTCTCCCCTCACTTTGTTAAATCCCAGCACAACCGACACCTGCCATTCACCTGCCTGGCAGCGAGAACATAAATGCTACCTTTTTACGAGCTGATTTCATGTGACAGACCCAGATGGGCAGCTGAAAGGGTAAATGATTCTCCATTATGGCCACGCAGCGGCCTCTAGGTTCCAAACCAGAACCGATCGCATCACACTGTCAGGTTTCACTTCGTCCAAGGGCAACGCCAACCGCACCACCCAGCCTATGAGGGGCCCGTCCCTAATCAGATGATGTTTCAGATGAGAGGTCGTGTTCCCAGCTGCGGTCATGTTGTGTTTCATTGCTCAAAACTGCATCTCGCCTGACCTGCAGGTCAGCCAATTCCCTGCACTACAACAGCTGATTTCATTAATAATTAATGAGAACCTCACACACACATACAAAGGACACACTGGTGTCCTTTATGGGGGGATTTCTGAATCAGTGATAAGAGAATTTGTTTGATTAATTTTTTTCTTTTTTGTGTTTAGTGTCATTAAGCACTTGAATTAAAAAAAATAAAAAATATTTCACACTGAACTAAAGGTTTTCTGGGTGCATCATACAATGCCTCTGGCACTGCCTAATGCACTTCCAATAATTTCTTTTTTTTTTTAATCTCATTTTTGGCATTGCCTACCCACTACTGAGGGAGCAGGATTTATAAGAGGCAGGTGAAAATCCACTTCCCTCTAATCCCCATTTCATAGTAGTAAACTGTTGGTGCCACATCATCAGCAGCAGCATCTTCCATTCCTGTGGTGTTCTGTTGCTGTGCGTCAGCTAACATCTGTCCTGCTGATATGTCCTTGGACGAGTCCGCAAATGAATCCATCCGGGTCCCGACGTGCTGAGCCGTGGTCAACGCTGCGCTCAGCCGTCTCTGATGGAAGCGGACCACGAGAATTTCCCTCCAGCGATCGATAAAGCCTCACATTACTCTGACATTAACTACGTCACAGGCGGTGGCTCGCCTTGGAAAACTGTTCCCCCACCGGACCTATCACACGATGTGCTGGGAGATGTGTGGAGCGGCTACCTGTGGCCTGTGTTTGGGTCATCCTGCAGCAGCTGCCTGTCAGGATGCAAATATGCATCACGGGCATGAGCAGAAAGATTATGTAAAGAGGGTTGATGAATTACAATATCATCTCACATATTTCACAAATACGGATTTTTTTAAAAGTGTCCATTGTGAGGAGGTGAAAAATGTCTGTCACTGCTAGATAACAACAGGTAAACACCTGTACAAATATGTACGCAGCTGAGTGTTAATCCACTCTTATTGCTGTTTGATTAGAAGGACAGATGTCTGGATCAGCTCTCCACCCTCTGCCTGCATGTGCGAGTACATATCTGACCAGAAGACAAATGAAGAAAGTCTCGGCTGTCTGTGGCACAAAAAAGGGAAGGAGGGCGAAACGCTTCCATCAAAATGTGCATGCACAAATTCACACATGAGCAAACACACAGCAGGAGGTCCACTGAGTCAGAATGCGCTTCAAAAGCTTTCTTGCATCCAATTTAGCCTCCTCCACTCTCAGTATTCTTTCATTTTCCTCTCTCCATTCATTTATTTATACCCTTTCTTCATCCATTCGTGGCACAGCAGCACCCATCTCTCAATCTGCCTCCTTTTCTGAGCACTACAAGTGGAGGAAAACATCCCAGCTGTGAGCCTGGCTCTCTGCTCTGTATGCACAGCCTGACGAACACAAACACAAAGCCAACTCCATAAAGAATAATAGCAGGGAAGAGTTTACTCATTCAACCTGCTGCTTTGAGAGAATGAGCTGCATAAAGTGGGACGGCAACAGGATGCGCTGTTGAGTCTCGCCACTACCAGGAACTGCTGAACATTAAAGCCCAATTCTTTTACTGCGCTAACCGAAAAAGGTGTCTGAAGCGGAGATTGTCAAAAAGCAGTCGAGTTTGACTGGTTCAAATCGATCGCTTTTGATCAGACACCGGTGAATTTAAATCATATTTTTAGATGCACTTTTTTGGCTTCAAGAGAGATTTGACAGCGAGTTTGATCGGCTGTCACTGCAGCCGCCGTCCTTGGTGGCTCACAGGTTGACAGGTAAAAAAAAACAAAAAGGAAAAAAGAAAAGAGGTTAACTTATTTGCTTTAAGTTCACCATATTGGGGAATCAATTCAAAAGGTTAAAGTACATTCGGGAATTAAATGCCAGGGTTAAGGTGTGATGGGAGTAATGTACTTAGAGAGGATTAATTTGAAATGTTTGGGCTGACCAGGGAATTGATTTGATTGGGGTCAGGTAAACTGGGGCACTTAGTTAACTGTTTTATTTTTCTTACTGTTTCCACTGATGTTATGGATGAAGGTTTGCTGTGACATTCTATGATGGAATGTTTGTTCAGTCGCTACAAAGTTGGTTTGGTCCTATAAAATACACTGTGAGGATGGTTTTGTGTGATGAAAAACCTGGATATGGCATTACAAATCTGTCATCAGAGCCACATCAGGTTTCACGGGCAGCTAATGCCCCCTCAAGTGTATTACTCATCACTAACTGGAGAGTATGTACATTTCTCCAGACCAAGTGACACCAAATAAATACAGTTGAGCTGTAGCTGAACTAACTGAAAACTTACCTGAGACGCATACATTTTTGTGGCCCTTTCATCAACACAGGTTATTTCTTTAAATAAGTTTATACTGTTAAAATTCCCACTTCTGGTTTATATGAAAATGGAGATATTTGCATAACCTGTAATACTGTACCATAATCCTGTACTATAGTTAACCAGAGCTGCAGAGTTTGAAAGGAGGAGCAAACAGCAGCTATTAACAAGGCTCACTCTTCTATACCACCACATGTTTGTGCATCGCTGGGAAAAAATGGATCTCCTCCTACCTACACAAAATACTAACTCGCTTTCTCAAACACTGGTGGCTACAAATAGAACCCCCCCTCCCCTCAAACACACATATATACACACTCACACACATAAAAAGCCGCCATCAGGGAACAAATTCCATTTCATTTCCCGCTTTGGTAAGGAGCAAGCAGGGGAATCAATACATGCCATCTCCAGCTGTGCTGAAGGGAGTTTGGCTGCCATAGAGACAGATGTAGCACAGCTACAAACTGCTGCTCTAATTCAATCCTCTGGAGTTAACTCACAAACACACACAGATGGAAGATGAGCTCGGCTGTCGCTCTGGCTGGAAAATGCAATTGTGAAAAAAAAAAAAATCTATATGAGCCTCATATTGGGGAGCATTTTCAGGAGACACGAGGTATAGATCAGTAAAGGATCAGTGATGTGCTGAGTGAGGACAAACACGTGCAGACATATGAACCCTTTACCTGGGCACAGTACTGGGACTTGGCCACGGCCACCAGTAGCTTGAGTATGGGCTGGGACTGGGACACCAGAGGAGAGACGGCATGGATGACTGCTGTGAACTTGGGATATGGTTTAATACCTGAAATACAAAGGACAAAAAAAAACACAAACATGAATACATCTGAGCAAATTCAAATAACAACAAGACCTGCAACACAGAGAAGGGACTGTCATCAATGTAATTGCAGGCTCTTTGAAGAAAATTGGCTGAGGGAGAACTGAGGGCTCTCATTTGCAAACACTTCATATCCATTTCCACTGGAAGATAGTACTTGAAATGAGACTGTCAGCGGTTAAAAATACAGATGATAGAATTGTCAGCGATGAGCATTTCTCAAAACAGTCTTGAAATATTCAACAATGCTAATGTGTTTGGAAAATGCTGAATCACTTGATCACTGAATATTTCATTTTGAAAACTCCTCAGCTGTATCTGCAACCAAATAAACAGACAACCAACTGCTGATGTGACTTCAAACTCAGTCAAACTTTATGTTGGAATAGAGTAATCGAAGCTGAAAATGAGTAGGAAATAAGATATTGAGTAAGACGGATCACAGACGACGTCCAACGTTTCCTAATTTAAATCTAATCTAACCCAAACCAGCAAAGCATGGCAGGGAGGAGATAGCGCGAGCAACCCTCCTTTCTGCCACACAGCAATTTTAATGTCAAAAGAAGTATGCAGTTTTCAAACTGGGTAAACTGCAGTGTCTTTCTTATGTCTGCAGACCTTCTGAAAGTTCACAGATTTTAATTAGTAGAAGGAATTGACGCACAATCGTTCCTGAATCACTGAACAAAAGGTGGCGTGTGCTGAGCGTCCTGCATTTGGCTCAGGATGACACGCCTCAGCAGGTGTAGCAGCGGCCTGCCCAACTAACATGAACTAACAAGTTACCCCCGGATTTTCTTACTGTTACAGATATTGCTCCTTTTAAGTCCAAACTCGAAACATATCTCTTCAGTCTGGCTTTTAATTGAATTATTTTGTTTCTTTGTAACCTTCCCTGATTTGACTGTTTTCCATGTTTACCCTTTCTATTGTATGATGTGATTTTACTCAATTTGGATACGTGCGGGCTTTAATAAAGTGCTATATAAATTCATTTTGATTGATTGATTGACATGTTAACATGTATCATAGAGAGGTCCTGATCCAACAATACAATCATTGTAATCTTTGTAGTGTCATGTAAACATGCAACATTATGAAAAAAAGCTCTGGATTCAAAAGAGTCTAATATGTCCAACATTTCACAGGGAAACTAATAAAGTTGATTAAAGCACAAACTGAATTACTCTTTGAAGACTCCGGATTCCTAGGTTTATAGCAAATAGTTTTGAGAAGGCTCTTTATTGTTATATGCAACTTCACAGAAATCAAGGTCTGCGAACACGCCGTCGTACTAATACCATCATTACTAATGCTATTGTAGCTTAATGGGGGAATATTCTTCCAGCCCGCTGCTAAAATATTTTCAGAAAGATGTTCAATATAAAATGTGGTGAACTCAAGGCGTGTGTGTGTCTATCACAACAGTAGAACTGAGAAAAGAATATCTGAGATGAGATGCTGCAATGCCAAGAATGTCTCATTGTTTTTCCCCCCATTCAAACTGAGTGTATTTCATGTTTGAATGTGCAGCCAGTAGTTTGGCAGCAGATGTAATCTTTAATAGAAACATTTATTAAGGAGTGCCCATTCATTTTTATTGGTCTGTGTGAATACATTCTTGGAATCAGTTCAATTTGAAGCAAAGAAAGCTACAACTGGCCACCGATTTAAAGCTGCCACAGATCCTACTGTAAAGCCTTGAGAACTGAGGTCATATCCTATCAATTCCTGTATAGTGTTTAGCTAAATCATACAGTAATTATCATATAACTACATAAATAAGGTTTAGTCTGAGCTGCACTGCAGGGAGGGCTCTTCCCACTAGTCTTTACTCATGTCTGTGACCGGGGTGGGAGAGCACTTCAAACAGCTCTCAGTGAGGTGCTGGTCAGTTCATTACAATTGCAATACACATCAAATAAATAAAAAACTGAAAACCCTGTAGTCAAAGAAACAAAGGCAAGCTCTGCCTTTGTTAAAGCAGGTGGTGGATTGAATGAGATTTTAACCTGTTAAAAAGGACCACAAAACATTTACAGGGGTATTTTCATACCTATACCAAGAATGCTTGTATTGAAAATACACATTTTCAAGCATTTTAATCTAAAGTTAATCTTGTTAAAGGAATAAAAACAAAAAGTCCTGCTCTGGAGTGTGAGTGTGAATATACATAATGAGAGGGTGTGTGTGTTTGGTTATTGGCTCTTGGAGTAGAAGAGGAATTTTTCCTTAGAGAGAAATTCTCCACCCTTGATTTGACTCATTTGCCACCTCCTCTCCTAAAACCCATCTGTGTTTAATTGCTTCCTCTTTGACAAACAAATGCCTTTTGCTGGCATTGTAATGCACGCTCGTCACTGTGTCCATCCATTTTAATATCCACCACACGCCCCGGGGGCTCTATCATCTGAGGCTGTACCGCCGCTGCCTGTGTGTGTGTGTGTGTGTGTGTGCGCGCGTGCTGGTGTTTGTGGCGACTTGGCAGTGCTTGATAATGATGAAGTGAAGAAGTGAGGGATGGGGCAGCTCACAGGTCACATATGTGGCGGGGGAAAACTCGGCGCTACTGAACCGTAGCGGGAAGAATTGGCTTCACTGCAGTGGAGGCAGCAGCAGCATTGCTGACTCAAAAACCAATGATGGACGGGGTGGTGTGTCAGCAAGCCTAATACAAACATCAGTCACCGGCTCATTCGTCCACGGCTACATAGAAGCATTTGGAAGAGGGTGGCAGATCGTGAGGGGAGGGGGGGGGTCCATATTTCTACCATTCTGACAAGGTCCAGACCTACAGTCGCAGCTGGATGAGAATCAACAGAAACTCCCCTCTAGGCCAAAGATTACGATGAAAATTTAGCTGACTGACCTTTGTGGATCAGTACATTTTAGCAGTGGTTTGTTCAAAAAGGGGCAATTTTTTGATGCATTGTGTTACAGTTTAACTATTGTGTTTGTGTATGTGAGTGTGTGTTACTGACCCAGAATGGCATAGTAGAAAGGGAAGTCTCCCAGGTATCCAGAGTACTGTGGCAAGGCAAACAGGCCCCCAGGGTGACTGTTCCACATCAGGCTGCTCCTGGAGCCGTGCTCCAACACACGATCCTGGATGATCTGCGCACACAAACAAAAGTAAATATTCACCATTATCCACGTTGCGCCAGCTGAGAACGAGGGTTAGACTGGGGAATAATGACAGGCTTCGGCATTTAGACCACACAAAAACAAGTATAGCAGTGCCACAATGAGTAGTTAAACAGCAAATTCAGTCTCCAAAATTGTAGTATGGCTGTATTGAGAAGACGGCCACACAGAGAGAACTGTCGTGCCAGACAACCTGACCCAGTATTGTCCAAAAACTCGCCTTCTTTCCAGATGTGTGGTCATTCAGACAAAATTTACACAATATGTGCTGCATGAACACAAGCATACAAACTGAGCCGCTTTGCTTTTTGTTGAAAAATGTACCTAATTTCTTTTGACAAACTGGACTGTCAACTAAAACGTGGTCTCTAATAGAAATCCCAATAGAAAATAAAAGAAGACCATGACTTTTCACTTCTCAAATAATTACCAGAAGCCTTATTATTCGTCAAGGTTAAATGTTACATTCGCTCGGTGTAATAATCAATGAGGAAAAATATGAATCTGAGTCTGCCTGTGTGATTCCTTAGATAAAGGCCTCAGTCACTAACTGTTTTCTTTAGGCTTATTTGTGAGGCTTCAACAGGCTGCTTGCATCATAGAGGACACTGACATATTCCTGTGGATAAAAGGGTGATTGTTAGCCCCTCAGATTATGTTGGGTGAAATAAAAAAGACCTTGATCAATGAGCCTTGTAATCGCACCAATAAAAATGTTTCACACTGAGAAATGAGTTTTCGCACAAAAATGGCAAGAAGCTGATAGTCATAAATGCAAATGAGAGGCAGCAGAGCTAATGGCTTCCTCCCTCTCGGCTCAGGATGTTACCAAACGGTTATTTAAAACTCCTCCGGTCATTGCAAGCAGGTGAGAAGCTGCTCTACGATGAAGTCAGTCCGCGGGTCCGGGGTGGAAGCAAGATGCCGGCCGTCTTTTACAAATGTTTACCCTGTATCGCCTCAATAAGGCAGCTATTGATCGTGTGATAGTGAAGCGCGACGCGAAGCCCGGAAACAAATCCGCGTTCTGGCGTGTGATATTTCCTCCACAGCCCGACCAAACGGAGGCCAGATGAGCCGACACAGGCTCCGGGGGCCGGGGGGGGGGGGGGGGGCAACACAGACAAAGTCATCAGTCGAATCAACGCATTAGCCTGTCAAGCCTGGCCCGGTCCGTTTTGTTCCCAAATGGAGCGGTCAGTCAAACGGCCAGACGCGGGAATAGCGCCCCCCCCCCCCCCCCCCCCCCCCCCCGTCCCCCTCTAGCTTTAAAGCTCACAGTAGTCTCCTGCTGAACAGGCACAGAGAAGACGGATATTGCTGCCGTGCCCTTGAGCCACGCTAAATTGCTTCAGTAAAACAGACACAGGTTTGCGGCCGTGTTTTATGGCGGCAATTGAGTCGGGAGGGAGGGGACGGCGGTTGGCAATTCAAAGGATGGATATAGAGCGCGAGGACAGTCGGCAGGGTGACAGCCGGCCAGCTGATAGCCGTTCAAGTTGGGAAAAGCTAATAACGAAGGTGTAGGGAGTTTTTTGTGACAATATTGACAAAGCAAAAAATGAAAATTCATCATAGAGGGAGCAGCAGCGGTGTGGGGAGGGGAAGCAGAAAGAAAAACTCAACAATGCGTGAGTTTCTTTTACTTTTCCAAGCTCTGTCCCCGGTGGGCCGTCGATAACCATTCGCCTAAAAAAAACAAATCAACTGGGAATCTTGTGACTTCTGTATAAAACCGCTGCCAGCCACCTTCAAACCCCCGCAGCCCGACACACCTTATGAGGGGCAATTTTGCTCGCTTGGCTGCGGCTCCTCCCCCGCCGGCAGCCCTCGGTCGGACATGATGGACGACTCAATCTCACCTCAGAACAGCCACAATCAACCAATTAGAGCATGATAGATAAATCCCGCTTCCGCGAGACTGGGCTCTAATAGGTGGCTTTAATGGGCGTACCGGCAGCACAGATCCGGTGATATTGACCTTGTGATTGGTCGAGACGTTGCTGCTTCCTGACAGGAAACACGACTCATTCTGGCCAGCCTACCACTGCCAAACGCCCACATATCTCTTTGTCTACATTTATGGGAACCCACCACTGGTAATGGGTCCTTTTACCCCAACTATATCATTGCTGCTGAAATTAAGTTTCCTCCTTACAGGATGAAACTCCATTGGTCTCTATAAAAATGTCTGACCTGATAAGGGAGGGATTTCCTGGCTTTTGAAATCCCAAGAATGCAGCAAAACAAACAAACAGGCAGAAATTAAGTAGATTTTTTTTTTGGAGAACATGAAGAACAAGTGAGTTGTGGATGTGTGTGAGCAGACTGAATTTCTCAAGCTATTGGAGTGCGTGTGCATATCATTACAGATCAGCAGTCTTAACATGCCATTGAGCGTGTGCGCGTGTGTGTGTAGGCAGCGAATAAAGTGTGAATAAACCACAATGCTTATCAACTCTGGGCTGCCACGGCAACGCCATTTACATATGTCACCCCGGTGCCTCGTCAACCTTTCTTCCGCCACCCCTCCTTCGCCCTCTTTTCACAGGACAGCCGCTCAGGCATTTACCCGCGGCGGTACTCAAATGAACACAATCATATTCCCCAACACACACCGAGTCGGAGGCGTTCACCTTGCACTTTTGGGCAGAGTGACAACATGTCAGCGGGGTTAAGCCTGGGTGGTGCCATGACTGTGAGCCCAGACACATCCTGACATATGGAGATGTGCCTCTGAATCTGTGTGTGTGTGTGTGATAGCTCACAGAGAGGCAGGTATAGATACCACACAGACCAGAGATCCAGAGCTAGCTGAAACCAGACTCTGTTACCGAAAGCCTCAGCAGCTGACGCTTGTGTGAGAGCCTGTGTGGAAACGTGAAATGTAGATGGAAGATATGAGAGGTTATGTTGTTAGTGAGACTGTAGCGTCGGGGGGAGTCTTGCTCCGGGGCCTCAGCGACATGGTAAGAAAGGAAATTAAATGCGTGATGGGGAACTTGAATGAGTAACGAAGAAGACATTTGTAGCCACAGCATGACATGAGCTCGTAGCCAGACATTCTTCTGTTTTCCGCAGCTGAGAAAATAATTGCTTGAACTCAGTAATCGGGGCTGGGGAAAGGGGAGATCAGCACTTTCCAGTTAAAGTTCCTTTAAAATGGATTATTGGTAGCTAATTTGATATGTCTGAATGTACGATCCTCATTTGCACCGTGTATCCAGTCTCCTCCTACATCATGCCATCGGGCCCAGCTTCTGGTGTCTTCCCTCAAGCCACTTCTGAATGAGCCGGTGGCCTGTAAGCACACCGACTCCACCATCCAGATCACCCAGTTCAATCCCGTAGCTGAAAATGGCTTTTATCCTGCTCACTTCAGACTTCACCGAACCCCGTGTTGGGCAAGGTCGGCCACTAGATTGAAGAATCGCACCATTGAAAGCCAAAGACGAAAAAAGCAAAAGGGTTTACCTGCAGCCCTGCGTAAACCGGCAGCGTGTCAGCTGATGCTGTAGCAACAGCGACGCTGTCTGTGTTCACATCTGTCAGCTCTCTTAAAGCCTCTGAGACTGCAGTCGTATCACTGCCAAACACATGGGATCGTCGTGTAAGGCAGAAGTCTGACTGTTCAATAATCCATATGTTGCTCTCTTCCTTTGAAGATCTCCTGTTATAACTGTTGAACAGAGTGAAATTCTACTCAAACAAAGATCAACTGAGCCCCTTTTTCTGACAGCACTCGTATGTGTGTTCCTTTTTTGAAAATGCTGACTCAGTTATCTCTCCACATAGCAGTGATCCATAGCCATGTGGTTTCTGGGCGTATGAAATGTTTGAGAACTGAGCCATTTGTTGTACTTACAGGAGGTTTGGCACAAGGGCACAGCGCAATGTTCCACTGTGGTGCTTTTTTTCGGTTTGCTGCCATTCGTTCTCAGAGCAAAATGAAAGTGAAGTAGCTGCTGTCTAACATTCGTTACTGTGGACGTGTAGATTTATGCCCTGATTGATTTAAACGTGAAACAATGCAGGCGGTCTGAGGTTTTGGTTGTCTAAATCAGGACGTGAGCAACGTGAGGTGTGCCACGCCAGACATCAGACCCAGATTTCTGAAGCCGAAGCTCCTTGCATGAGAGCGCATCACTTTTTGTGTTGCCTTTGAAAAGATCCAGCAAAAGTTAGATGAGGCGACATCATACAGGAGAGACTACAGAGGAGCATCTCAAACGCTGGTTACATATGGTTGCCAGAGGATTTACAACGGGGCAGGGAAAAGCAGCTTTCTTTGATGCCGGCAGGACTGCCAGCCAGGACTTTATGTTACACTGATGAGTTGCTGCAGCAGAAAAGAAAGGAGAGAAAAGTCCTACCGACCAAAACGAGTTAATAAGCTGGGCTGCATTATGCAGTGGGTAAAGAACCCTTAAAGCAGAATATGACTGTTGTGCTCGCATGTTAGCGCTCATGCAGGGCCCGGGAGGCTTTGTCATGCTGCTGTACTATACTTGCAGCGTCCATTTTCAGATTTTACAGCTGGCCGGTTGATAGCATCAGCCCCTCCCAAAACTGTCAGACACTCATTGTTCTAATAATTAAAAATCGGGAGCCTCTCCATGTAATGACTAAGTGGGTGAGGTTGATCATTTCTGCAAATTTCTTCTACGCACATCTCAGAAGCTCTTTATTTTTGTTCCCCTTCTTTTCCTAGCAAATGCACTATTCTTGTTTCTCGCCTTTAAGGGGAGCAACTCGGCCGGATTCTAAGCATTCGTTTAAGAAAAGATTAGATAACACGTTTTATTAAACTGTTTTGTTCCAAACACGTCCCAGAGAACATTATGGCTTCAAAGGAAAGGTGTGCAGAAAGTCTAGAAATCTAACTACAGTACAAGGGGCTGTTTGAGAAGTTTCTGCTGACCTTACAGGGCGAAGAGAGAAAAAGCTAAACTTCCTAACAACTTTATGAAAGCTCCCTGAAAATCGTACATCAGCTCTGGGATCCACTGAAAAACACTCTGTTAGAGGCCTGTGTTCTCTGCAAAGGGCAGAACTACCAAATGTTTTTACAGCCATCCTTCAAGCCTACTGAGTTGATTGATACTCATAAAAATTGAATTTAAGCAGAATAGGACTTGAAGGTCACAGCTTTGATGCTCAAATTTAAAGCACCATGATTCACACTCGTGCACTCCCCGAGGTGCCTTCAAGGTCCAAACCTTATAAACATTACTACTATAAATACTAAAACCATCATCAACAGTTTTCCAATGAGGAGAAAAAGCAGATTTATAGTGAAATTCTAGACTTGGATGTTAAATTGTCTTCCCACTGTGTAGTCGGCACTTATCAGTCAGATGTTTAGAGACTAAAGAGGAGAAAACACAGATTGCTGCGGCTGAGGAGACGCTGTGTCTCTCTGAGAGAATAAAGGAATGATAGAAGACGTGGGAGAGAGGGTGTCAGAAAAGGCCAAAAAAAAACAGCATGTGACTGTGTGCAAATCCTCACCTCCAGTGTGGTCAGCACTATCTTTTCCACGGAGGAGAAGTAAGCCTCCCAGAGGAACTGAGTCTGCTGCCTGAGGGACAGGATCTTATCCTGGTGGATGGAGCGCACCGTGGTTGGAATCTGCAGAGGACGAAAAGCAAACATCAGCCTGAGCACTCCAAACAAACACGTCACAGAGGAAAAGGCACCTAATGCTGCAGGTCTGGACCACTCGGCCTTCAACACTGAAGTCTCGAGACTTGGCAATGACTTGGAGGGGAAATGGCATTTCCTTAGGTTGGCCTGAGTCTTTGACCAAACAATAATGTGGAAAACGGGCCGCTCGAAATTTGAATTTGCCTGGGAGAGTTTGCAAACCACAAATAGAAGTCAGCATGAGAGTGTTTTGATCAGGCTGCTGCTTCCACCTTTGAGAAATACTTCAGATGTTCTTATTTTAAGTGGCAAATCATGTCTGGTCCAATCTGACAGAATTCAGTTCAGGTCAAGTCCTCATTTCTGTAAGTTCCGGAAGAGTTTTGGCATTTTGGGAGATACAAAATGCACTTCTTTTTTTTTTTTTTTGGCTGCTATTCGGATGACAGGATCAAACCTGCTTTCATTTCTGTGCAACAGCTTTAAAGCTGTACTGGGATTGAACTTCTCATCCAAGTCGCAGCAAGGGAGCTAATAAGTGAGTTTCCTTAAAACCTGACCCCAGTCAGGCCTAAAGTATGCATCACCTGCTGCAGCCCAGTTTGGAAACTTCCAGCAGATTTGTTTGCTCGAGGGCCAAAATATGCTAGTTTGGAAAGTTTCTAGCTTGGCTCACGGAAGAAAAAATAAACAGTTCAATGTCGCATTTACAAAAGAGTAAAACGGATCCTCATTAAGGAGAAGAAGTGCACAAAGGAAGGAATTTGAAGAAAAAAAATATAAGAAATAAAAAGGCCTTGCTAGAATACCTTTAAATGCCGAAGCCGTAGATTGATCATCCAGGAAGCCAAGTGGCTCATTTTGTGACTTTTCATCACAGTAAAGGTTGAATAGGATTGGAAAATAGACTAACTCCTCACGTCTGCTCGATAATAACTGAAGCATAACGTAGAAGCAGCATTTTTCTTTTTGAATGCTTCTTTTACTACATGCGGGCTCAATGAATGACATGCTTTTTATTTATAATTAGCATTATGTGCCATTGTGATACAATAAAATACATTCATTAGAGGAATTTTCAAGGACGTGTTCGGCACATTTGGGAAGCTGCACAGAGTGAGCTTCCACATGATAAAACCCAATGTCAAACACTATTATCACAGGCTTCATTCAAATTAAGATTTAATGGGCATGTAATTACTCTTCTCTGAAACAAAGTTCAAGCAATTCCAACCTAATCCACTTCCTTTCCCTATTTATTTATCCTTTCCTTGAACCATCTGAGACTATGGGAGACATTACTTTGTGACACTTGAGACACCTCATCAGACGATAGTAAAAAAACTGAAAATTGGATAGACTGGATCCATCAGGAAAAGTGTGTCTTCCCACACATAAACTGTGGCGTTTTCCCTCTGTGGTTTGGTTCTGGACGCGGTGAGGTCCTTTACCTGCAGCAGCAGCCTCTCATCTCCGATGACCGCCGCCGTGTTCCAGTCGATGATCTCGGAGAAAGGCAGCTCCCAGCCATTGCTCAGCATCACCGGCACGCACGCAGCCTGAAAAAAAACAACACAGGCCGCGGAGATCATTGAGGAACCTTTTAGAATACGGTTAAATGGCTGGAATTCATTAGCAGTGATTTGTCGCCGACAATTTCGTGTTTGTGCCTCTGGGGGAAATTCTGTCCTGATATCGGGTGTCAATTTTTGAGGGCATTTACAGTGGAGTTAATATCTCACAGTAATGAGATAAACAGGAAACGTGTGACACGCTCAAATCATGTGTGTGATTTGACGAGTGTTTATGGCTATGTGACCTGAAACCAGCCCACTCAGCGTCACTATAAATACACATCGTTCCATCAGACACAAATATAACAGTTTGACTGTAATTCTGACTAACAGGATTGTAACGGAAGCTATAAACTAATAATGAAAACTGCAACCTGGCGGCTTGCTTTTAAAACTTAGGGGAGATCCGATTACCACAGCTCTGACAAGAATTGACTTTACAAAGGGGAAATATTAAACAGCACGGCGAATAAAGGGCAGCATCGCCAGCTAGTTGGAACGATATTTAATCACATATGATCAATTTTCTTTACCTTGTTCTTTATGTTTAGCTGTATTTTTTGTTTTACTGTGAACTCTTGAAGAAATATCAGACCATCACAGCAGTAAAGATTCATTTAGCTAATGAAACTCATGCTTAATGATGGAAAAAAAATTTCATTTAGACAGACCAAGTTGAGTCAAGGTGCTTTACACTGGGCCAGAAACAGATCCAAGCTGCCACTGAAAGTTACACTAAAGAGACAAAAGTTTGTTTTACAGCAATTGCATCCTGAAACACGTGTCGAACCTGTGGGCAAAAACCGAAGCGAGGGCTATGAAGCAGAACTTTGCAGGGAAAAAGGACGGAGAGGGATTACTGTAACATATGGAGTCTCCATTTTCTTTCTTCAATTTCTTTTCAAATGAATCTTCTGCATAGTGGGCCTTTAAAGCAGTGGGTGAGGAAAAAAGCTCAAGCTTAAAAATACCTGTCACTAAACAACGCCCTCCATAGATAATCCCACTTTAATCTTGGCACTCCGCAGCCTTTTATGGTGTTTGTCCTGTGAAACAGTCGGCATATCAGAAGTAACGTATTAACTTCATATGCATGCGTGTTCATTGGCTTGTGGTCATTTCCTACAAAATGGGACACCATCAGCACATAGCGTGAATGATTCGGGGGTATGTAGACTGATACGGAACTAAGAGATTTAAGCCATTTAGTCCATCTCTCTGCACTGAAAGGCACAGAAGCGCTGGGCTGAGAACGGGCTGCGGATGGACAAACGGGCAGAGCCGGTTTACGCAAACCGGACAGAGATCAATCCACCCTGTCACACATACACAAAAATAATGTCTTAATCACCTGCTCTGTTTGTGTTTGTCTGATTTTTCACACGTCTGTAGAAATAAAAATGAAAAAAAAAGGGACCGGGCTCGAAGCGACTTTAGACTCGAGTCTTTTCATTTAACATCGGTAGGCGTCCACTTTCTTTTTCGGACACAGCGCTTTTTCCGTGTTTATGTAGGATCAGGCGCAGTGGGGTTAATTACCCACAGGAGGGGAGCGGGAGGACGGATAAAGAGAGAAGTGAAGATCAGAAGGCTGCAGAAAGTGGGTACACGGATACACGGGGGGGGGAAAAAGATGAAAGGGCGGGCGGTGAGGCTGAATGTGACCTTTTGCGAAGGAGTGGCGGCGGGATGGAGGGATGAGAAGACGGATAGAGGGAACAGCTGGCGCGTGTGCTTTTGCGGCGGGAGCTTGATGTAATGACGGCACCGTCTCTCCCCCTTCATCTCCGGCTGCACTGGGCCCAGTTGACGGATGGAGGGAGGAGGCCAGAGGGCACATTTCAGTCGGCGGTGTGTGTGTGTGTGTGTGTGTGTGTGTGCGGCGGCTGACAGGGAGGTAATCACAGCTTTGTGGGAGCCCTCCGTGGACAGCAGCGTTGGGTAAGGAGAGGTAAAGGACAGTGCGGTGGTAATGCAGAGGAGTCCCAGATAAACAGAGACAAAAAAGCGAGCGTGAACGGATGAAGAGGCGGGAGGAGGATGGAGGGTCCCCGGATGAAGAGGGGCTGTCGGTACAGCTGTGGAGTCTTTGGGAGATAACGGGGATCGTTGTGGGCGTTTTCATCTGCATTTGTCTGTGGAAAACTGAGGAGTTGGACGAACATAAATGCCATATTTTCCAGGACTTGAATGAGTGAATTTACTGAGGGAGTTTCAGCATTTTCAGCACGTCATGCCACTGTTTCCGTTTTATTGAAACTTCTACATTTTCGCTTTTTAGTGGATATTCATATTTTTCATATTAACTTTGCACCTTTTCTGTGTTTGATTATTTCTAAGGTTTTAAAGCTTCTCAAATCTTCATCATTCCTGGCATTCAAATTTCTGTTTCATTCTAGTTTTTATGTGTCTTAAGACTTTTAAATTTTCCAGCCCTAAGGGTGATGTTTAGAATTTCCGTACAGTATATTTGGTGGAGCATCATAATCCAGCATAGTGCTGAAAATCAGACTTAGGATAACTAATGTGAGAGAAATATAAAATAAAGGTGTTCTGTGACAAGCATTAATGATACGTGATGGTAAAGCAGCCCAAATCATGCTCTGGTTTATTGTTGCCCTGACCCACCAGCCCAGTGTGCTCTGACTGATCAGCAGATTGAACAAAAAGTACTAAAATGAATGCTCTTTTCAATTATTTCCCTTAAAAAGTAGTTAACCCACAAATGTTTGAGTGCCGAGTTCTGCATAGCCACTTTGCCATTAGGCCCATGGCCCTTTTGGTCCTTATTAACCACTTCCTGTTCTGCCTTTTCTGGTGTATTGGCGATGGACGAACCTCCACTTCCCATACGTGTGGTTCTACACAGAACATCACTGCATCCATCCAGGCTTAAGAAGTCAAAGAAATGAAAAGGCCTTTAGCTTGAGCTGTGCCAAACCAAAAAGTACATGTTAAAAACAGGCATTGGTTGGTTCAGCCGTTGGGTTTAGCTGCAGCTTTCACAGCTTTTTAACGTGAAAAATAAAAGTGCAGAAGAGGCCTAAGGACATAATTTGTCTCTTTTAAAACTTGAAATATCTATTTGCTATCTTCACAAAAACCTATCAAAGCACATCTGCCAAATGAATACAAGTGTTGAGATGTGAAAAGGTGAAGCTTTCCTCTTCAGTGAAGGCCTCATTAGAGGAACATTAAGGTGGAAATGGTTTAGCGATCCTTAACTTCAAGAGGTAGTATTATCTTAAAAAATAAATAGAAGGATGAGTGTGGGCAGCGAGCGTTTTTTTCTTCTCATGAATAGTGCTAATTTGTTTGAATACACAGCAGAAGGCCATCTTTGTGGGTGTCGGTGGCTTTTTTTTTTTGTTTGTTTGTTTGTTTACCTGCAGCGCCTCCAGGAAGCGAAAGGAGCCCAGCCGCCTGCCACGGGGCACCAAACAGAAGGTGGAATTATGGAGCATCTCCTTGTAGTCATACCTGCAGAGACACACACGCTGTGAGTTCACAGATCTGCACCTTTAAACGAGAAGGTTTAGAGACCTGAGAATAATTGCAGGTAGCTAAACATACAAAAATCTGATAAAAAAAACAGCGTCCTTCACACAAATGCTGCCATAAAGACATTAAACAGGAACATCATGAGCACCAAAACAGAAAGGGACGTGCTAATAAACTGAGGTCAAACACCGCTTCCTGTATTTTCTACACGGCAGCTCCTCAGATGGGTGATAAAAACTGCTCTGATAGAAATGGGAAATGCTAACCACATAATTGGGTTCTGCAATTTGACTGAGCTAAAACTGGACCAGAAATAGGGCCTGTAAGCCCTGGACTGATTTATTAAGAAACAACAGAAACTATATAATCAGTTAAACGATCCTCTAATTTCCTGACATCCCCTTTAGTTTTTGATGTTCACAGCTCACATCCAGCTTGCCTTCTCCATCTCCTCTCTCTCCTTCAGTTCAGCTACCCTTTTCCTCTCTCCTCCACCCATCACACTCCACCTATCTCTACAGCAACACACACCTGTACAAACCCCCGCCCCGCTCTCCTGGCTGCCTCTTTTCAGCTCCTCTATCTCTGCAAACAGGAGTCGGCGCCCCCCTCCCTCTATCGACCCCTCTACCCCTCCACCCCTCCAGCTCTCTGATCCCTCCATTTCTCCAGTGAGGTGTGTCTTATTGCTCTCCAAACAGGGTGATCAACCCTGCCAGGGGTAATGAGCTGAGAGTGACACCTGCTTCCACAGCACAGCTGGCTCTGTGAGTGTGTGTTTGTGAGAAACTGACAGGCAGAAAAAGAGAAACTGTGTGTACCTGCTCATTGCTTTGCGTTGATGGTACTTTTCCCTGTTTTGACAGGTATAGGTTTAAACAGTATCATGTTCCAAAATTGGATTTATGGAGCTATTGAGATGTGAAATAGCATCTCCCCCCTCTGGGTCCCTCATTCCCTCACTTTTGATTACCTTATGTCTTTATGTTTCTTTTCTCCTCGCTTTCTGTGTCTTTATCTCCTTCTACCTTTCAAATGCAAAAAGGTTCACATTCACTCACAATGTGAGGACTCCTGAAGATCCTGTTAATTGCCACATCAGAAATGCACCTCTCTAACAAATTAGATTATTTCAGGAGAGTTAATTCACAAATTTCTCTTTTTCAAAGAGGTTTGTCTTTGCTGCTTCAGTGTCAGAGTTGCTCAGAATAAACTTGTTTAAACAGTGACGAAACACGAAATCCCACAAAAAAAACCCAAGAAAAACTGCATCAAGAGGAAATTTCCTTGTGCAAATATCAGTTCAAACAGAGTCTTCTGCAGTTAAAGAGGAACAGTCAGAAAAAACGAATAAACACAACACTTTAGACGACCATTTTGAAATGAATCGTGTGAGCTTGCTGGTGTACAAGTTGTCTTTTGACCTTGTGTTTGTTTAAAAAAAAAATGGGGAGGAGCCTTCACCGTGGCCCAGGTTTGGGGTTAAAAGACTTGTGAGGCAGAAAATCATTTCTCATTTAACCGAAGCCCATACAAGGTGAAGGTTATAGCACACACACACACTCCGCTCCATCGAGGATGCTGTGCGTGTGCTGGGGCTGGGGCCGAGGTGTGGCAGTGGCTGCTGATGCTGCCTGTGCTGCGTTACCGTGCGTTACTGTGCGTTACCGTGCGTTACTGTGCGTTACTCTGCGTTACTGTGCGTTACTGTGCGTGTGGGTGGAGCTGGGGGCCTGTCCTCCCCGCGTACAAACACACACGCCCCCGTCCCCGCTCCGGTCGAGGCCTAATAGTGTGCGGGAACATGACAGCCTG